CAGCACTCTATCCAGGGCAACAGCTTGAGGCGCTGTCTCAAAAAAAAAAAGAAAAGAAAAGAAATAAAGTTCCGTTTCTTTACCTAGGAATTAAGTTGGCTGCAACTTCTTCACTAACGGAGTCTACTGGGATTCTCCATACACATTTTGCACTTAGTGGTCTTGTTCAGTCTTATGGCTTGGAATGTCATCTTTTAGGGTACCCCTTCTCAGAAGGCTTCAGTCTAACAGGAAGGAGCATCTCTTAAAACTTTGAGTAGGCCTGCCTTTGAGTATGGTCATTTACCTGAAACCAAAGTATTCCCAGAATTCCCTGGCATAAGGATACACACAAGGTTAAACTTTTATTGTTGTATTTTTATTTGGATTTTTGTCTTCTTTTAATTGTCTTGTAACAGTTATGTTTTTTGGATTTTTTTGTTTGTTTTTAAAAACCAGGCATGGCGCCCATAGCATAGTAGTTACAGCACCAGCCACATACACCAACACTGGCAGGTTTGAACCCAGCTTCGTCCAGCTAAACAACAATGACAACTGCAACAAAAAGTAGCAGGACATTGTGGTGGGTGCCTGTAGTCCCAGCTACGTTGGGATGATGAGGTAAGAGAATTGTTTAAGCCCAAAAGTTTGAGGTTGCTGTGAGCTGTGACAGCAGAGCACTCTACTAAGGGCAACATAGTGAGAATCTGTCTCAAAAAAAAACAGATCTTGTGGGCTCAGCACCTGTAGTTCAGTAGCTAGAGCGCTGGCCACATACACTGGGGCCAGCAAGTTCAAACCTGGTCCAGGCCTTCTAGAGAACAGTGTAGCAGGCACCTCTAGTCCCAGCTACTTGGGAGGCTGAGGCAAGAGAATGGCGAAAGCCCAAGAGTTTGAGCTTGCTGTGAGCTGTGACGGCACAGCACTCTACTGAGGGCAACATCATGAAATTCTGTCTCAAAAAAAAAAGATCTTGTTGTGTTGCTAGGCCTACTTCAAACACCTGAACTCAAGCTATCCTCCTGCCTCAGCCTCCTCAGTACTGTGGCTGTAACTACTGCTGCATGCCACTGAGCCCAGCTCACACAAGGTTAAATTAACAATCATATCCCTCACATGCTGCTCTTTTATCTGTTTCTTCCCACAGAGTCTTGGCACCCTGCAAAGTCACCTTCCTCCCCCACTAGGTCTTTCTGGGAGAATCTGTTTTAGGATATAACTCAGATGCCTCTCAGAGTCTCAGTACCACCATTCTCCAGACTGTCCACCCCTTACCACACCACAGTCACCACCAAACTCTGCCCACTCCAAGGGGCCTCTATTCTACCAACCCTGTAAACCTCACCACCAGTCACTTACCATAGAGGTCTGAGCCCTTTCCTCTGGCTCCTTCTGCCACTTCCAAACTTAGATAAAATGCCTCCCCTCTACATGTGGGACTTGGTTTCTGAAGGGCCCATGGGCATAAACCCAAAAGTGTAGGGAGCAAACTTTGATGAATAGAAACAAGGCAGGAAGGAACCAACCATATAAATTTCCTTTTCTTCTCCCTCCATGGACTATTCTAAGACATGGTTTCTTTGCACAACCTGTCAGGAGCTATCCTGTGTGGCTGATTGGACACCCATGCCAGTCTGCCAAGTTTTTACCATCCTGTTGTGAAGCCGCAGCCAGTACAATACTTCTCATCCTTCCCTGCTTTATTTATCTCTTCCCTTCATTCTGTCTTAGGCTAAAGCATCAGCTCTCATCATCCTTGTCTTCAGGTCTTTTTTCTAGAGAACTCAGGCAGCACAGTTCAGTTTATGAAGTAGATTCACTGAAAGGTTTCACCCACCTCTCCCTGGTAGACATTCCTTTGTTTGCTCAAAAAAATTTCTAAGTGCCTTCTAGTGGCCTCAACTGATGTTGTCATCAGTGAGGACGCCACGGTCTTCACTGGTAGTTCCCTTCTAATACTTCCAAAGACTGTTATTCCTCTGGGGGCCAACAGAGTGGCAGCACAGGTCCCTCTGCCCCCTGCAGCACTCCAGTGTCACTGATATCACTGATGAAACTCATGCTCTAAACTAGCCCAGTGTTGTGGGCTCCTGTTATCTCAGCTACTCAGGAGGCTGAAGCAAGAAGATCGCTTGACCCTAAGAGTTTGAGGTTGCTGTGAGCTATGACGCCACAGCACTCTACCAAGAGTAATAGAGTTTAAAACTCTGTCTCAAAATAAATAAGCTCATGATCTAAGTCTCTTAAGAAAGGAATTCTTTTTTGCTTTTGCCCTAACAACTCTGCTCATGGAGTCTACACCACAAACCAAGGAGTTTCAGAAGACAAATAGCTATTATTATCTCCACCATTCTCCTATCGTCTTCTGCTGACATTTGAAGCAGCTACTTGAATCACAACACAAAGCCCAAATGTAGACTTCTGCAGACTACCAACATACTGCACGTCTGCTATATCTACAGATATGCCCAATATTATAAAATACTGTAGACTTTTTGCTGGTATACCTGTCCCAGGAGATAGCAAAATTCCTTAAGTATAACTGGTATGCAGAAAAATGAATAAATAAAATCCCTATTTCCCACTTTTAATCTGTGACAAAATATATGTGTCTCTACAGTAGTAGTTAGTGCTTCATGACATTATTAGCACAAACTTTGTGGCTTAAAATAACACATTTATTATGTCATAATTTCTATGGGTCCAAAGTTCAGGCCTGGCTTAGATGGGTCTTCTGCTTTGGGTCTCACAAGGGTACAGTCAAGGTGTTGCTTAGGGCTGTGGTCTTATCCAAGGCTCTACTGGGAAAAGTTATGCTTCCAAACTCACTGAAAATTTAATTTCTTGTGGTTATAGGACTAAGAGCTTCAGTATATTTCTGGCTACCAGCCAGAAGCTGCCTTCAACAACTAGAGGTCATCCACAATTACTGGTTACATAAGGTTGCCTGTGCTTTAACATAATTAAAGCACATAAGCCAAGAAGGTTGTAGAGAGTTCACTAATAAGAACTAAGTATTGGCAAGGTGCAGTGGCTCACGCCTGTAATCCTAGCACTCTGGGAGGCTAGGTGGGTGGATTGCTTGTGCTCAGGAGTTTAAGACCAGCCTGAGCAAGAGTGAGCCACTGTCTTTACTAAAAATAGGGGGGAAAAAAAAACTAGCCAGGCATCATGGCAGGCACCTAGTCCCAGCTACTTGGGAGGCTCAGGCAAGAGAATCGCCTAAGCCCAGGAGCTGGAGGTTGCTGTGAACTGTGATGTCACAGCACTCTACTGAGGGCAACAAAATAAGACTCTGTCTCTAAAAAAATAAACAAAATAAAAGGGCTTCATGCCTACTTGCTGTGGCACTGGGGTCCATTCTCTGTGTATGGAGAATATATCTTGCTTTGTAAACCTGTATCTCACTCGATAAGCCTGTCTGTCCCTTTCTCAATAAACTTTATTTCACACTTTATGTGAATATTTAAAAACTCTGTACTGGCTGGGTGCAGTGGCTCATGCCTGTAATCCCAGCACTTGGGGGGCCTGGGCAGGAGGATTGCCTGAGCTCATGAGTTCAAGACCACCCTAAGGCAGAGTGAGACCCTGTCTCTAAAAATTAGCCAGGCATTGTGGCAGATGCCTGTAGTCCCAGCTACTTGGGAGAACAAGGCAAAAGAATCAATTGAGCCCAAGAGTTTTAGGTTGCTGTGAACTATAACACCATGGCACCCTACTGAGGGTGATCAAGTGAGACTCTGTCTCAAAAAATAAATAAATAAATAAAAACTCTGTGCTTCTCTATAGAAGCAGAGATCTGGACCATTGTCTGCCATTTTCCTCCTTTGCCTCCTCAAAAAATTAGTAATTAAATGAGCAAAGGATTTGAATGGACACGTTACTGAAGATATACAGGTGGCCAAAAAGCATAAGAAAAGATGACCATGTGCAGTGATTAATGCCTGTAATCCCAGCTATGCATGAGGCTGAGACAGGAGTTACCAAATAACCTGGCAATTCCACTTGTAGGTATATTTGTATTCCCAAGAGTATTGAAAAGATACTGAGTGGCTCAAAGGAGTAGGGCACCGGCCCCATATACAGGAGGTGGCGGGTTCAAACCCAGTCCCGGCCAAAAAAAAAAAAAAAACCTGCCAAAAAAAAGATACTCACACAAGCACTTTCACATGAATGTGTGTAGCTGCATTATTCATCTACCTAAGAAGTAGAAAACAACCCAATGACCATCAATTAATGAATGGATAAAAATATTGTGATCAATATGATATATAATAATGGAACATTCAGCTATAAAAGGAAACGAAGCACCAGTAATCCTTGCACTCTGAGAGGCTAAGGTGGATGGATCGCCTGAGTTCACAGGTTAGAGACCAGCCTGAGCAAGAGTAAGACCTGTCTCTAAAAATAGCTGGGCATTGTGGCGGGGGCCTGAAGTCCCAGTTACTTAGGAAGGTGAGGCAAGAGAATCACTTGAGCCCAAGAGTTGGAGGTTGCTGCGCTGGGTCACTCTCCCAAGGGTGACAAAGTGAAACTGTGTCTCAAAAAAAGAAAGAAAGAAAAAGGAAATGAAGTATGGAGACAACATGGGCAAACTTTGCAAACATGCTAAATGAAAACAGTCAGTCACAACCTGATAGGATGGAGGGCAGATCCTTATTGAAGCTATGTAAAAACAAACAAACAAAAACCTGTGGTTATGACAAGGGAACTGGCTAAACACACTTTGTATAATATTTAGCCAATATTGCTATTGTTCTGAATGGTTTTGTAAATAGGGCTAATCAATATATCATTAATTATGACATTACTGTCATAAGTTTTTCTTTATTAGTTTATAATCAATATTATGATCTTTCATGATATTGCATTTTCTGAATTCTGAGGGATCAATCTGTACCAGATATTATTTAAAGGATGTTTCATTCACGTTTGAACAGGTCTAAAAAATTGGTGGTTAGAGATAAAGAAAAATGCTTTTTAACATGTTCATTAAAAATAGAATATAATGGCGACACAAGATGGCAGCCACCACGGGCTCAGGAATAAAAGTCCCTCGCAATTTCCAATTGTTGGAAGAACTCGAAGAAGGCCAGAAAGGAGTAGGAGATGGCACAGTTAGCTGGGGTCTAGAAGATGATGAGGACATGACACTTACAAGATGGACAAGGATAATTGGGCCTCCAAGAACAATTTATGAAAACCGAATATACAGCCTTAAAGTAGAATGTGGACCTAAATACCCAGAAGCTCCCCCCTTTGTAAGATTTGTAACAAAAATTAATACGAATGGAGTTAATAGTTCTAATGGAGTGGTGGACCCAAGAGCCATATCAGTGTTAGCAAAATGGCAGAATTCATATAGCATCAAAGTTGTCCTGCAAAAGCTTCGGTGCCTAATGATATCTAAAGAAAATATGAAACTTCCTCAGCCACCTGAAGGACAGTGTTATAGCAGTTAATCAAAAGGAAAACCACAGGCCCTTCCCCTTCCCCCCCCCCATTCCATTTAAACAGTCTTCATTTTCCACAGTAGTAAATTTTCTAGATACGTCTTGTAGACCTCAAAGTACTAGAAAGGAAGCTCTCATTCAAAGGCAATTTATCTTAATATACT